GGTGAAGTTAGATTCCGACCCTTATTTCGTTTAATAATATTGCATACAGCACCATTTACCTCCTGGTGGTGAGTTTGTGAGCTGTTTTTCGCGGAAAATAAATTTCCATGACCTCCTTTACACGATTACTAAGTTTGATAACATTTGCTTCAGTATTTTTCTTTTTATGATCATTTCAAAGTGGAACTTTAAATATAACCACCCTATACTTAAGCAAAACAAAATAGCTGTATAAAACTAAAAGGTTTATAAAAAAGGAATAGATAAACTTTAATACGATTAAAAAATTACGAAACATCCATCAGTGTATTCCATTTTCAAAATAGTAATCATTATTAATTTATGCCATTCTTTATCATTGCCATTATTTTTTAAGCTTTATTGAAAATAATTATTTGAAATTTGACTGCGGAACTTCACAGTAGGGTTACTCACCGTTAGGATGTTCTGCTGGTTATACTTAAACTGATGTTAGAGGCTTGCGTTTTGTTTTGAGCCCAGGTAAACTTCGCATGCACATTAATGGAACTGTACTTGATTGCTTGCTTAATAATTCTCGACTAAATTTTGATTTATGTAATCTACTAGCGGTTGAGTGGATGAGAAAATTGAGCAATGGTAGTTCAAACTGAATTCAAATACTGGAAAACTGCATGGAAGCTTTCGTGGTTTTCCTTATGTGTAACACGAAATAGGAACCAGTTTCTCTTAGAAAGATTTCTACGAAGGCATCCATACTGTTAGGCACATCCTCTTAACAATAGTGTGCTTTCTTATTATCTAATAAATCGAGTACATTTATATAATCAGTTTTATATGTAATAAGAAAAATATAATACATGAAGAAACGCACATAATGATTAAATTTAGAAATTTGTTTATTCTGTTTTCTTAGAACAGACCTATAGCACATCATCTGTTATGATAGTTGAGAAAGAAACTATCTCTGTATTAATTTAATAAACCCCATGTGCAAAACACATGCATGCGTTCTGATGCCTGTTTGATTACAAATTCGATAAAAAAAAGTTCTAAATATTCAATGCTGAAAGAATTATGCTGGACAACACATCCTTAATAAAGCATCTTTATTCATCTATCAAAAAGAACAATGTAGTTTATTCAGTGAAAATTTTGAAAAAAAAAAAAAAAAACGTGCTGATAAGAATTAAAATGCTCAAAGCACCAGTGTTGAGCAACTATGAATTTTTTCTGCCATGTAATTTTTTTATACAGTCTTTTGGACATTTACTCAGTATAAGAAAATGATATCAAGAATGGGTTTTGTAAACATACGAAGACGTGCAATTTAGTAGATTCTCATCAGCCATCTTTTAGCAATTTGGTGATACACGCAATGTACTTGTAAATAGTTTAAAAAGCGGTTTTAAGCCGTTCTACCTACTGTGTCCATACAATAAATTTTTTTTTATGAATATGTATATAAGAATATATGTTTCATATACAATATGTAGCAACTCGAAAGAACGATCCACTGACTAAATCGACATTTACTAACTTACGCTACTCTATAGTAGAATGCTATTGTTTTTTCAAAATTTTCCTTATTTGGTTGCAATGGTTATGGAAATATTATGTTCAATGATAATTCATTTTCTTCCTAATATTAAAAAAAAAGCTAATTAGTCACAATAGACATAAAATATGTATATAATCTGACTTTTAGAAGATATCCTAGCTTCTTTTTTTCAATCATCTATAACTTCCTGTACTGTGTTAACTTAAATTTCTTCGAAGTTCACAATCCATGCTTTTATTAAGCATTTATATCATTTTAAGTGGTTATAAACACATATATAGAGTATATAGAGTTCCTCGTAAATTTTTCATGCATTATTATGCATTCTGAAATACTTAAAATTTTTCGTTTTTTAAATGCTTCAAAATCCTTTCCTACATTTGAAAGTTCTTTCAAATGGCCCTGTAGATTGCATTGCATTTTTAGTAAAACTTTCCCGACTTGCACACTCATCTGCCATCAAAATCATCCAAATTTATAGGATATCTATTGTCTAAAATATAATTAGACAGCATTTACTTGGCGTTGTAAACTAGTGTTTATTATACGTGGGGCGTTGCAAACAACGGTGTGTATTTTTAGTTTGTGTTTATTATGCAAAAGAGTTTACTCAATTGTACAAATGAAAAGTTCATTCATATGTTATCTATTACATGCAGTCCGTCTGTGGAAAAGATTAATGCTAGTTATATTAAGTATTTCGTCACTGAAGTTAAAATAATCAGTTTTATTGGAACATAGAAACACGCATAAAAGAGGAATTAATACATCTGATATTGAATTTGTTATTTAAGTAAATCTGGCATCAACACCTTTTCGCCAATCTCTAATTACGGCGTTTATGCCAAACACGAAAACTGAAGCAGCTGAGGAGGCAAGAAGCATTCAAACCCCTGGTTGAAAAGCTAAATCATTATTATAAGCTAATTAGAACTCAAAAAAGTCCTTTGCCGAAGGAAATGATAGCCTGTTGATGCGAGACCTGAAGTGTAAGAATCTTATGTCAGAGTTCTTATCTAGTTAATCCGCCCAGTTGTTGTAAAATAGGTTGTTCGAAAAGACTGAAAATTTCATTTAGATGTTTCGACAAAAATGTTTCCACAAGAAAAGATGAGTTAAAGATGATAAAGATGAGTTTTTAACTTGAAAAAAAGCAAACTTCATAAGAATGTGCGAACACCTTGTGCCGCGGCACCCTTACCCCGAGTCTGATTTTCGTCCGCGTTACTGATTCATTAATTAAGCAGGGAGATGAGATAACTAACTCTCCAGAACCTTTATGAAAAATTTCTTCAGTTGCACAAAGGTGCGAGCACATTTATGTCAAGTCAGAATTTTTGTAAAATCCCCATAGGATATTTTTAAAAGTTAGAACCTGAAAGGGTCCGGAAACTTTCTCTTGGGGTACCCTTATAAAATTTCTTGTCTTTCGAACAGCAGTAAAACTAGAGTAACAAATATGAATATGGACACCCTTATAACAGGGTTTATGAAGGTAACAGGACATTATGAAGAATTTAAAATATCGTGGTTATCAACGCTTTAAAAGAAAAGAAAATTTATTAAAAAATTTTTAAAAAACTTCTTTGATTAGTGAAACGTATGTGTGAATATAATACGCAGTGAAGCTGAGATATTTGTTTATTTCTCTTTATAATGTCAGCAATTACTCTGAGTGTTCGAAAAGCACTGTTTTTAAAAATCATACCTCTGCAAAAAGTTAGCAATAAATTTAATTAAATAGCGTGTAATTTTCTTATTTTAAGATATGTTTGATGACGTAATATATTACTAGTTAGATAAAGAAAACATATTATGACCCTTATTGTCAATATATTTTTCTCTTTCATCATACGCTATGTTCTGTACTTTATTTTCCATTTTTTACTACATTTTGACAAGATTATGGGGGTACTGGAAAAAAAAACGAAGGACAAATGCTATTGTTGTTAGAATATGTGGTGTGAAAGAAAAAAATAGATTGAAGAGTGTAGGTTTTTGTTAAATTATTGAAAAATAACTATGAAGTAACTATGTTCTAATAAAAGAGGGTTTTGAAAGTTGAGGCTCGTTAATTTTTAATGACCATTAAAATTCCTTACTCAGGTTCGTTGTAATCTGGATATTAATTTTTGGATCTATATACTTAATATAATAACATATTTGCATATACAATATACACCATATAACATATATATATATATATATATAACTCAAACAATTTCTTAACGCTTATCTCATGGCTTAATTACTGAAATTAAACTATAAATGCTAAGAATGAACTTTTACTGTTCAATACTTTAATGTGATAAAAAATATAATTCCTTCTTTTTCTATAAAAAAGTTCCGTTATTTATCTTTTCATTATTTATTACAACAATTTTTTTCTAATTTAATTCTGACTGAAATAACTTAGAAATTTCTTGTTGTTTAGAAAGTCTTACATTTATTTTCTGCCATAGAAAATAACATTGCATTATTTGGTTTGTTATTTAGATAATTACTATAAAAATCTTTGATTTGTCGGATATTTGAAAAATATTATCTGCTTTCAGATAGGTACAAGTGATTTCAGTTATGGTAAATTATTTACAACATGATTGCTTTTTTTAAAATTCTTGAACTTATTTTTAACTTGAACTCATGTTAATTGAGATTTACAGGTATACAAATTTTAAATTCTTTTCAGATATTGTTTCCTTTTACATATATAATAAACAATGAAGTCGAAATGTATCGTAATTTCTGTATAAAAGTACAATTAATACGTTGTTGCTAAATAAAGTTGCATATATAAATAAGAGTTTTGTGAAAAAAAACTTTAAAATTCGAGATAATAACAACTTTTACTTAGATCTGCAATTGAATATAAAACTGAATGAAATTTAATTTCTGTGTAATTTACATTATATACTGTTTTATAATACATATTTTCCTAACTGTAATATACATTTCTTTAATGTACAACTTTGCATAATGTACAATGCATTTTTGATGTATATTCCTTTTGTAATGCACAATTATTCTTTTTTGCTCTCAAGATTTGCAATTTATTAATATGAATCAAAGACTAAGTTTGAAAATCAAAGACTGAATGATAGTGTCATTAAACCAGCGACTCCAGGATTTTAGCCAGGGCCGGGACTATTTTAAATCACCTTGTAGTCTGTTTACTATTCTAACATCTTCTCTTCTTTAAATTCGAGAATAAAGTTGATAATGCACTTTGCGGCTTATGTCACATTTAACGATATCTTCTGAGAACCCTTTTTAGAAGCTCTGAATACTGTATGCATGAAAAACAATTAATTAGAATGTAACTTACAGTATATAATAATTTTAAACGCCTACAAATGTCCATGTCTTAATTAAGAACGACACATCAATTAAGATTCTCAGATAAATTAAAATTGTGCATACGTTTAAGGTATAAAGACACAAAAGGTAAATTCGAATTCAGTTATAATATAAGACCCTTTTTTTTTTTTTTTTTTTTTTAGTTTTTTTTTTTTTTTTTTTTACGAAACGTGAAAACACTATTGGAGGTTGTCATTACACTGAAAGACAATGCCTAATGTAGTGCATAAAAGCATGCTTAAAATGCTTTCACAAATCATTAAGTTATTATTCTCGTTTAACAACACTAATATTGCCTAAAGTATATACAATTTCAAATCTTATATTTAGTTTCTGTAAACTATAAAAACATAAACTAAAGCAAGGACATAACATAAATGTAACATAAGAAAATATTTGAATAATTTGAAATGAGTAAAACATCTAGAAGAATTATTCTTCTCAGAGCATTTTCAGAGCGTCTTAATGTTAAAATCTAATTTTAATGTTTCTTCCAGTTGAAATAACTACGTATCTTTTTCTTTCTAAGACCAGGTATTTTGGCTTTCTAGAATGTAGCTATTTCTTGATTGTCATGGCATATTCAGCTTGAGAAAAGATTTAAAATTAATGAATATTAAGTCAATTAAATCTATTAAAGCTCATCTAACCCTGATAGTTGCCCTGATATTGATCGGTAACTAGAAATTCACATAAATAATAACAAGCAAAACTGCATAAAGGTCCAGCCTTTAAGAAAAAAATGCATAATAATAGAATCTCAAAAGATATTTCACATTGGAATCGAAATATCACCATGACTGTAACCATATCGATTATCACTAAAATGGAAATTTGAAGGCAACAATTGACTTTCTGGTGGGTGATATGTTTGAATGACTTCATTGCTGTTAAAAGGTGAAAGAAGTCTATCTTTCACTTCATACCTCACGTGAGGAAAATGATGTACAGTACCAGAAACCATTGCTGGTGTAGGAGAAGTGGAATGATTATATGGAAAGGATGGGCTGTATTGCTGTACATCAGCAGAGTTGAAAGAGTTGTCATTTATTGGCAAAGATAGCATTCCTCTACGTGGTCCATATAGAGTGGAATCTACAGTCTCTTTCTCTAATCTCATACGCTTGCTTTTGTAACGACGGTTCTGAAACCAAATTTTAACTTGCGTGGATGTGAGATTTAAACTCGCAGCAAACTCATCCCTTTCTGGCGCCGAAAGATAACGCTGATATTGGAAACGCCGCTCCAGCTCGGCCACTTGGTCTTGCGAGAACAAAACCCGAGGACGTCTCTTGCTTCTGGACCCACGTAGGAAAGAAGAACGCTTTTCTGTTGTCTTTGAGCTGACATCTTCTGTCTGGCCATCACTCTTCAATGACTGAACACTTACATCTGGAAATATGGAACGATTTATCAGTATAAAGAAATAATTTCACAAAAATGGCATATGATAAACTGTTGATGCATACAACAACCAGAGATACTTTCAACATAATATCTAGCCATATTTTGTTGCCATTAAAAACTGACAACTTTTGCTTCACACTAGTTAAATTATGCTACCAGATCATTTACCATGCACGTAGTTTGACAAATGTCAATTCTGTGATGATTACCATTCTACGCTATGAAAAATCCTTAATTTATCTTTACTACGTGCTTCATATTTAATCCATATCTGTATTTCGTTTTCCAATGATTCACCCAACTAATATAATTTATAATATTGATAGCTGACAATTTTTCAAGGATTTGTACTGTTATTATATTTAATAAAGTATGTTTCTAACGCCAAACATTACATATACATTATAAACATAGTGAAGTTCGTCGGTTTAATTAGAGAAAACAAGCAAAAGGAATTTGATTTAATGCAAGAAGTGAACCTTTTGAATCTGCAAGTGAACCTTTTGAATTATTATCTGTTGACACTGTTGGAGGTTTAAATTATTAAAATTCAGAAGTTTTTACAGGACACCTGGTATATTTCTTATAAAAACGCATGTTCACTTATATGGTGTCCCTTCATTTCTAGAAGTGTGCATACACCTGTCATTTCTGTGCCTACCTAGTTTTGTGACTCCAAGTCGTCTGATATGTGTTTCATCCATATATGAATAGCTTATATACAGAGAAAAATAGATGATAGATATTTAAGTTGTTAAGTAGCATATATATAGAAATATGAAACGAAGTATTCAGAAACGCTAAGTTTTATTTAAAACGCTTTTTTCATGTAACAAGTGAATGTTTGTTGAATATTTCATTCGATACTTAATGTATGCATTGTGCTTATTAAAATCTAATCCAAGAAAGAATTTGAGGCAAGGTTATAAGATATTTTCTCCCTTCTTCCAGCATGCCTTCCTGGAGTAAAAGTAGCGCACTCGGCGCATATTCGAGAGGTCCAGGTTCGAGTCCCGGCGGGGAGCGTTGCACATTTTTCATGTCTCCTGCTTCAAGATAATCTAATGGCTCAACAAGGTAAAGAAAAATATTCCATTTCACACCAGTGAAAATATAAAAATGTCAGTCTCTCTCTTTTTCTATGAAAGTGGTTATAAATTTATTACTGAAATGCTTATTTTTAAATTATTAATATTTTATTTGTATTTGAACAAAAATAAGTACAAATTTTAAATGATATTTTTACTTGATTTCAAATTTATAGGTAACTATGAAAAATGTCTTAAGAATCATGATTAAGCAATTATTTTCGTCCTCATTCTCTTAAATTTATGCATATTGTAAGGAATTGTAAGGTTCTTATTTTAAAATAACCACTTATTATGATTGGGATCTTTACTTCAACTTCTTTCGTATTTCTCACTAGAATGCAAATTAAAATTATTGTGTATTTAAACTAAGGTTTTAGGATCTTGAGGAAGGAGTCTTCAATTAGGCCTTGGAGGTAGCAGTCGAAGTTTCTTTCGCTCCCGCTCGTTCTACTCTGCTTGAATTTTGGTAAGTTCGTTTTCTATTACACTAGTTACGCGATCACAGTGATAGGGCATCCTGAAGCAGTGACTTTCGGTTTTGGCAATGGAATCTCCACCAGGATCGATAATTTTCCCCATAAACTGTTATAAAGATTTACGCGCAAATATCCAGCAACTTCTAGATAAGGAAACCGTCTCAGGTCTCAATGAGGAAGAGTAAAGGAAAATACTAGTGCTCATCTAAGGACGCTGAAGCTGTGCCGAATATACTCTCTAGATCTCCACTAATTTTAATCGGATTAGTCATATAGTCTTATCCGGCAACACACATGAATATGCAAATTCGTAAACAGCCGACAACATGACTTGGAAAGAAGTTCCCGGCACCAAAAGATTACGGAAACGTAATAACTCATCAGATGACTACTATCTTCAAATTAAACTCCCATTTCCAACCGCTAAACAAAGAACCCACGAACCTCGATGAAGACAACAATATGGAAGCCACAAATGAGCACGGTAGTATGATAGGAAAGCTACGCCTTTCAAATCCCCCAAGAAATACGCAAGAAAATCCCTCGATTAGTGATAAACCTTCCAAATATAAACTGTATACAACTTCGTAAAGAGATTAAAGAAAATCTCGGCATAGAAAGATTTAAAGGAAGAGTTGATGGTGAAAACCTCAAGAATAAAATATTGAATGTTGGGAGATAATCGGACGGTTCAAAACCAGCTCCAAGTAGAAAAGATACCATTCCACACTTTTCTGTTAAATTCAGAAAAAGAATAATAAAAGGTTTAACTACAGATATTTCCTCAGAAGACGTCAAAGCTGAACTGGAGGAAACGCAAATTCCAGTTCCCAAATGCAGGCAACTTCAACGCATGGTTTCTGTTAATCTACCAACTTTTTACGTGAGAACTCCACTTACGGAGCAAGGGAAGCAGATCTACAGCATAAAATATATCCTAGATATGAAGATTACAATAGTTGCATACAAGAGCTGCTGAGATTGCTAATATGTAAACCAAAATTATGACAGTGTACAGTTTAAAACTTAACTGTTAAGTGGTACTTAAAATGACTTTCACAGCTTCAACAAGCAACAGAACAGAAATTTGTTTGACCCGAAATGTGAAAGGATAGAATATCTTCTAAGCATGCTACAAACGAGAAAAAGTAAACTATAAATAGTATTCCGATGGTAATAATTTTAATTAAAAATAAATGAATAAGAATATAAATGAAGCAAATCAATTGAATTGATCTAGATATAAAATATATACCAATTTTACTATCGAAGAAATTTGTAACGTGCAGCATCTTGTTATCAAAGAGATAACTGCACAGATACTGTAGGGAGATTCCATAATAATATAATAAATTCTATAATACTATAATAATGCATAAACCTAATACCATAGTACTATAATACTACAATAATTCCACAACTGTAATAACTATAACCATAATACTGTAGTAATTCATAAACCTAATAAATAAAAATCAGAGTGATTACGGTAGTTAAGAACGAACAATTTTAATATAACTAATTATCGAAGCTGTAAAACTAAAGTTATTGTACTTCACTTGAAAGTTACGTTAAATTCTCTCAATACAAATAAGAATAATTTTAGAAACTTGTGAAATGAAACATCCAACAATGCAAATTTGTGCAGATAATTTTCCACTCAAGAACAAAGATCGTGCCATTCGTATCACGAAGTACACTTAAACTTGATGTGAAATTTATGCCCAACTTTGAATTTTCTAAAATATTAAAGTCCAAATTGAATTGTATCTCTTAAAGCCATCGTTTATTGTAACTGTTGCAAGTTGATTTAATAAAGAGCCTCTTTTCTAGAAAGAAATTAAAGAAAGTATATTTTGTATGCAATTATGAATGCAATATTTCTCAAATATTTGTCAAAGGGTGGGACTTAAATAAAGCAAAGTACTCATCAATATTTTTCTCACGAAGAATGTAAATATTCATTTCACTCTGATTAATTAATACTTAATTCAAACTAAAATATTTTATTAAAAATCATTTATATATTTAGAATCGTTACTTACATTCTGTTCGATATGCAATATGATAATACAGGAGGATTAAGATGACTATTAAGCAAAGTGCTAGTTTTCGCTGTCAAATCTATGCGGAAAGAATGGCTTAAGTAATAGATTAGCATAATGGTTTTCAATTAACCTAAAAGTACGTATAAAAATTATATTTACATATACGTACAAAAACATTAAACTCTTTCAGCGTCTTCTAAACTTTCAGTAAGTCTGCTCAGTGTCTTCTTTGTCGTCTTATTGTTAAATAAAAAGTTTGTTTGTCTTACAGCAAACCACGGGAGTGTTACCTCGCCTAAGGGAAGAGATGCCTTCTTGGAGGACTTTCTAAGACAAACTGGCTCGTATGCATGTTACGCATGGTTAAAACTACGAAAGCGCTCATACAACAAGCGTGTTCGCCTAGAACCGAGCCCTTGTCGAATTATCAGTGTTCAGCAACTTTTACCTGTTGGCCACTGGTGGGCCTCGTTAAATAAGATTAGTCAAATCCGAATGTTTTCATAAGTTTGAGAAAGAAAGCAAACTATTCCGAAGTAAACGGAGAAACTGTATCAGGGAAAAAATAATAAGTATGACCCCCTAATTTTTTTAAACTTAAGCTTTTCAGTTAAACTAACAATCTCTTCTTAGTTCTCCAGTGATTTATTCTACAAGAAAAACCAATTTGGAATGCAGCTAACACTCCAAACTTCGCGGCCTATTCCAAATGCAACGTTATTGCCGCTAGATCTAACAATCAGGGGGAAAAATATAAAATGTAGTTAGATAGGATCCAAAATTTATTGATTTATTGTAGAGGACTTGGCTGAGAAATTGCTTTGACTATTTGATGGGCAAGAGATTACTTTAGAAATGAGAGATCCTACCAATCCTTAAATTTCAATAAAAGAATAGATATGCATATATATTATATTATGGTTACCTACCTATTCAAATCTACAATTATTTTTAATATGTGTTCCTGATTTATGAAACTTTTACATTTTTTACATTTTAAGGCACGGTAACAAGCAGTTATAAATTGGAGCAAAGTTTTGAATGTTGAATAATTTGATTATAATCATATTAGTCTTTGATTTTGGGCATATTTTTTCTCTCTTCTCATACAATTTTTGATTAAACTTAATTATAATTCTCTACTTTTAACTAAACTAAATTTATTCTAAATCCACTGTATTTTCTTCTGTAATTATAGCTTTCTATTTTTAACTAATCTAAATTTAGTATTAATACAACTCTAAAATTTCGACTGTAGTTAAAGATAGAAAATTGTGCGAATTTTTTTAGAACACACACCTATAAAAGCATCATATTCGAGATTAGCATCTAAAATTAGAACATTGTAAATGTTAATGTATTCTTTTCAT